GAGTCCCCGCCCTGTTCCCCTCGATTCCCCTTTCAGGGTGTCATGTCTGGGAACTTTTCTGGGGCACATTAAACAGGGACCAACAGCTGTGTGAGTCGTTCTTTCCCCCTGGGGGAAAGGGGCGATGAAGCAGACAGGTCTCTGTTCTAGTAGAGATTTATTTATTTTTAATAAATATGTGCGGTACTATGCACATACACTGGAGAAAGTGAAGTTAAAGGAATGTTCTCCACTCTCACTGTAGTGAGTGAAACCTGTGATCATCTAACATCTTGGCAAAGTCAGAACTAAGTCCTAGATAGACCAATGGCAAAACTGGTCCTAAAGCCTGTTTCCTCACTATTTGGAATGGTCAACAGAAAAAGTAACAAACTGTTTTGGCTATTTGAATTGTTCTTACTACACAAGGAAATGTTTTTTCATTATTTTTTATAGCAGGAGTTGTGGGTGAGAACACAGCCACATGCAGTGTGTGATACCGTGTTATTTGTGACATTATCTGACTGCTTGAGCAGCATGTCCTATCTGAAATGATAAGGACATAGTTCATGATAGCTCCTAGCATATTTGTAAGGATGTAAAGTGCACTGCAGGGGAAATGCCTGTGAAATGATACTTATACAACAGTTGCAGCAGATAAGCATAGTGTATTTTCCTGGGCCTTTTTATTGACCTGCTATCAGTCTTGACAATGTGGTGGTCTTTCCTGAGTAAAACCTTTCTAAAATCTGTGATAATGACACAGAAAATACTTTGCAACTGGGTTGGTACTTCACATTAGCACTGTTACTTTGTATGTTCATCTTGTTATGTAAAAAAGCACGGTAAGAGTAGAAATTTTTACATGTGTTTTTATACCCCATTCACAGTGTATGTCACTAGCCACTGTTGCCACTTCTTCTTTATGGATACCTCAGTGTAACTGAACTATTAGCTCATTGTATCAGGCACCTCTTTCTCTGTCGTAATAATGAATTTCCATTTTGAGGCTTGTTCTATTTGTGAATAATAAACTTCTGCACCATCCCACTTTTTTTTTTTGCCACTGTAAATTCCCTCTGGCACTCTGCTGAATTGTCAGCTCCGTTCCTGAAAGAAAGGAAGCTTCTCCTCAGAGAGACATAGCTTCTCTTGGGCTATGAGGGTGGGCATTTGTGGTGATAGCACTGCATCCTAGATGATGCTAGTAACATTATAATTTCTCTCATCACCATTATCTTTCAGCTTTAAATTCTTGTTTTAATCTACTCAGAACTTTGTCAAGGCCATTACTTTGTCAGAAAACTGTTTAGACTCTAACATGCCCATGGTCTAGGCACTGTATTTGGCAAGAAAGCAAGCATAAGTGGTTCTTTTGAGATCTGCACGAATATCCATCCATGTTGGAGCAATGCCAAATCACTTAGGAGCTGGGGAGCAATAGGTTGTGAAACTTTAAATTGCTTCGCAGCTGCACATGTATTATTTTACTTTATCATTTATTGTACATGGTCATTTACCAGTTTTGTTTTGGAGACCCATTTCATGCATTGCACGGGAATAGAAACTATTTATTTAATGAGAAGTTTTCCACCATTTCTCCCAGTCGATCTTGCATTATGTCCTACCTATTGTATTTTTGTCAAGTAATGTTCTGAATACAGAACTACAGATTTTGCCAGTGTTTTTTCTTCCATGGTTATTTTGACAGAGTGCTTCTAAAATACTAACACATTTATTTTCAAGCATTGCTACAAAACCAAGGCATGCTATTATCTTCAGGTAACACGTGGGAATTCTGAAATCCAAAGGAGCTAAGATAAAAGAATCCACAAAGCTTAGATGTCTCATATGAAAGCAGTCTAGGACTTTATTTTTTATAACTGTTTAGCACCATGCCAGACTTCATTTACCCACTTATAGCTCTCATTCACTTCAGATCCAAATTTAAGTACTCAGCACGTTGATAAATCAGACTCTCTTCAGACATTGAAAAAATTGGTTAGTGGCCACCTATGATAAATGTAAGTAACTCATATAACATCAATTACCAACTCAGGGGCAAGGTTATAATTTAGCTTTCAAGACAGCACTCAATTGCCTTAACCAGTGACCTGTTCTTTTCTCCCTGGAAGACTTTGCTACATTCACTACTCATGTCACAAACTTGAGTAGTCACAAACTTCTGTCACAAACATAGAAGAAGTCCTACTAAATGCACTCTACAATCTCTTTAACATCACGAGCTCAGTTCATAGCCATGCTTCATGCCAAAAGAGGCAGAGGCCCTATGAAACAAATACTACATAATCCCCAATTTTATAAAAATGCATTTACGGAAGGAACATTTTCAGCTTTTTGACTAATATTGTGACCTTAGCAACAGTGTTCTTTTAACATTTGTGTATGCGTAACTACAAAACGGACAAAACACCTAATTATATGTTGTCCCATGAATCGTGGATACTTATCGAAAGTATAACTTAAATTTAAAAATTACATCAATACGATCCATTACATGAAGAAATCTCCTACTTAATCTTGCCAGGATCACCTAGTATAACCCTTTTTTAGACATTACAAGTAAAACATCACAGTCACAACAAAAACAAAAGAACAGTTTATATTGAAGCTGACCTGTTAATTATTCACTAGACAATTTTTATCTAATAAACTTATCTACTCTTTCAGTTCTTGGAATATCTGTGAGCATGATGCCAATCTTTCAGAGTACTTGTTTTAAGTGTTTTCTTCTGTGCACTTTTGTGACTTTTTTTTTTTACTTTTCCTTGTTACTTGACCTTGTGGAAGAGTAGTGTGACATTGGAAATTATCCAGTATTGCTTCGTGGCTGCGTCCTTTGAATGACTGTATGCGTACTCTGACAATGTTTAGAGAGATGTGAACAATTTCAGTGAAAACATCTTTCCACATTCATATACAGAAAAGTGCATTTTTGGCATGAGGATAGAGTATTGCCTCCTCCTAAGCTTCTGGAAGAACAGATTTTGTACATTACCATTGCCCAGTCTTTTTGCCCATCCGCAATTAACATGTCAATCAAATTTTGTACAGAAAGTATAAATCACTCTTATTTGAAGGGAACTGTGTCTTAATTTGACATTATGACTCTCCATGAGAAGACTGTACTTCCCTGGGTAGTATTTTGTAATGGATGTATTAACATTTTCAGAGAAATTTCAGAAATGTTTTCTTCATGCATCTTTTAGTAACTCTAATTATTCACTCTCTCAACAAATTGTTTTGCATAGTTGTTCTGTCAGACTTTGAAAGGAATCTCTAAAAAGAGGCTTGTGTTAAAGAAACTAAGTAGTTCCACTATGTAAATTAGCAAATCTTCATTTTGCAAAAATTAGTTATCAAAACCTGTTTGAGTTGTTAGCTACTTCCAAGAACCAGTGCCATCACTTACCTTTTTCATTTGTTTTACTCTACAAATATTCCTCCAAGCCAGAGAGCTCAGCAGGAAAAGGCTCATCTATCAAAATCAAGAGGATTTGAGGAACTGATGAAGAATTAAATGGCAGTGTGCAAGGTAGCAGGGGAATGGAAATTTATATTGTTCATAGCCTGTGAAGGAGGCACAGGGCCATAGAGCTGCTGGAGAAAGTCTGAGCACAGAAAGGACAGAAAAAGCTCTTCCCTTCACCATGGTAGCATGTGGCACCACTGCAAATCATCAGCTTTTTAGTAATGACCACTCCCTGTAGTGAAGTGATTGCTTACTGACAGTTCCGGCATTTTAAAAATTATTATTATTTTTAGTCCTTACTACAAATGTGAAGGGAATACTCTGGAAAAAAATAATGAAGAGAAAAAGATTTATTTATTTTTTTAAAATTCCTGACCATTTCAGATATTGGACGAGATGCTGAAAGCAAAAGGTAACTATGGAAATCTAAACTCCATGCAGCACACCTCTGAATGTTGCACATTGCCCAAAATGTCAGCAGAACTAGGGAAAACAAGTATTTTGACCTATAAACTGCACTCCCAAAATACTGGAAGAGACTATTCACATTGCTAAATTGTTAGTACAACTTTGAGGACTTACAGTTAAGTACACTGAGTTTTCAAAGCTAACAGTTACAAGTTTCTCTTCATTCATTCCATGTTCTTTGTAGCACTACACTCATAAGAAAACAAAGATATTTTTATGTGTGTCATTTTAGCTATATTTTAGCATCTAATTGAAACATGGTTTTCTTTGGATCCAGATATAACAAGTTGCACAAGCTTGACAAATTGCTTTCAGCAAGCTACATCTTTTACATTTTTCTATGGAGGCATATGAGTAATAGGACTCTGTTACTTTTGTCTCTCAAGTAGTCCAAAGAAGCAGCCTTAAGGCTTCAGCATGACCAAATATAGCCGTTATAAATTGTATTCTTACAATATAGAATATGTTGAATTGTATGTAATGCAATTGAGTAAAGCAAAATTGAATTATAAGCATGTTTAAATACTTCTTTAATATGTCCCTGCAGATTGATGGAGCTATAGAGACAAGAAGAGTTCGCTTGTTATTCTATTTCACATCCAGTATAGAGATGCAGGGCCAAACCCGTGTGTATTTTAGTATCGTTGTGTATTTTGCTTCAAATGAACAATTCATTGTGTAGCATCCACTTTTTCCAATTCCTGTAAACAGTACTGTGCA